ACTCTAGCTACAGAAAGGAAGCATGAAAGGGTTAACTTACATAGATCAATTAAAAGGACTATGGAACTGACTACTGAACACAAACATGAATGGAATAAGGGCATGATCTTTAAATGATCATTAAATACACATAATATTGGTAAAAATAAGGCAATAAAATTTTCAGGATGTAGCTAAAGCAGGGCCTGCAGTAAGTTTCATAAGTTTCAGAGTTTGTTTTTAAAAGAAGGATGATATTAAATCATCAGTCAACATTGTCATTTTAGAGGTTGTTTTTTTTTTTTTAAAGAAACGAAGAGATGGGAAGAATTACCAATTTTTAAGAGTGAGGCTGTGTTTGGTGGCTCACAATGGTAAGCCCAGCACTCAGAAGGCTGAGGCAAAAGGAGCTCTGTGCGTTGAGGCCAGTCTGAGGTCGTGAGTGACAAACGAAAACAAAACCACAGCATGAAACCATGTCAAAAAAATAAAAAATAAACTCTTCCCACCCCTTCCCAAAAGCATTGAATTAACTGAAATAGAAAGTGAACGATGGGGGCTGGACAGATGGCTCAGCAGTTAAGAGCACTGACCCAGAGGACCTGGGTTCAATTCCCAGCAATCACAGGCCAGCTCACAACTGTCTGTAAGTCCAGTTCTAGGGAATCTGGCATACATGTAGGCAAAACACCAATGCACATAAAATAAAAATAAGTAAGTGTTTTTTAAAAAGCTGGTTCTTTGGAGGAATTGATAATCAATCAATGATCTTCCAACTAGATTGCTTGAGGTTAATAAAAAAAGAGGTTCTGGGAGATGGCTCAGTGGGTAAAGGTACTTTCTGTACAAACCTGAGGACCTGGGTTTGACCCCCAGAATTCATGTTGTTTTGGGTTTGGTTTGGTTTAGTTTTTGGTTTTTCAAGACAGAGTTTCTTTGTGTAGCCCTGGCTATCCTGGAACTCGCTCTCTAGAGCAGGCTGGCCTTGAACTCAGAGATCGATCTGCCTCTGCCTCCCAAGTGCTGGGATTAAAGGCATATACACCACCACCACTGGGCTCCACGGTTGGTTTGTTTGTTTGTTTGTTTGTTTGTTTGTTTGTTTGTTTGTTTTTAGCTACCTGTAGTAGCATACATTTGTAATCACAGCACTCGTGGCTAGAGAGGAAACAGAGACAAGCAATCGTGCTGGAAGCTGGTGTAGGAGCATAGCAGCATAAATAAGAGAAGCTGCCTCAAACAGGGAAGGAATAAAAAATCAGGCATGGTGGCACAGGCCTTTAGTCCCAGCACTCAGGAGGCAGAGGCAGGCAGATCCCTAAGTTTGAGGCCTACCTAGTCTACTCAGTGAGTTCCAGGTCAGCCTAGACTGCATAATGAGAAAAAAGAATGAAAAGAGAAGACACAAATTGCCAGTGGTAGAAACATAAAAAACGTTACAATAGTCCCTACAGACACTGAAATGATGTAATAATATGTACAACTTCATGCAATTAAGAAAAACTTAGGTGGAATAAACAATTTTCTTGAGTGGTGCAAACTGACCAATACTGTCATAAGATTCTGAGTTGCAGAAAAATCTCAAAAGTTTATTAAAAATAATAGGATAGATGAATTTATCAAGAATATGATATTATATCAATTATTTATGTATCTATATGTGTGATGAACAATTAGAAAAATAAAAATTTTAAATACAATTTCAAATGGCATCAAAAACCTAACAATTCAGGAATAAACTTAGCAAAATATATGCAAGACCTGAGATGGCTTTTTGGAGCCCACTCACTGCCTATGGTGGGACACCTTGTACAGCCTTGAGGCAAGGGGAGGGGCTTGGACTTCCTCTACTGAATATACCAGGCTCTGCTGACTCCCCATAGGAGGCCTTTCCTTCTTGTAGGAGGGAATTGGGGATAGGTTGTGGGAGGGGGGGTGGAGGGGTGGGAGGAGGGAAGAGGGGGATCTGTGATTGGTATGTAAAATGAATAAAAAATTTCTTAATAATATATATACATATATATGTGTATGTATATATATATATATATATATATACATATATATTGCAAGACCCTTGTACTTAAAACTGTAGGTGGAAGTTTCTGTCCCCCAACAGCTTCCAAATAAGACTGAGACTTATATTAATTATGAATGTTCAGCCAATAACTCAGGCTTGTTACTAGCTAACTCTTACCTTTTCAGTGAACCCATATTTTTATCTACACTTTACCACTTAGCTTGGTACCTTTTCTCAGTACAGCATGTCCATCTTGTTTCTCTCTGCATCTGCTCAAGACTCCCAAGACTCTGCCCTCCTTCTTCCCAGCCTCCTCTGTGTCTGGCTGTCCCACCTATACTTCCTGTCTAGCTACCAGACAGCTTTTCATTAAACCAATTCGAGTGACAAATTTTTACAGTGTGCAAAAGGATTCCTCCACAGCATAAAACTAATAACACGCCGGGCGGTGGTGGCGCACGCCTTTAATCCCAGCACTCGGGAGGCAGAGGCAGGCGGATCTCTGTGAGTTCGAGGCCAGCCTGGTCTCCAAAGCGAGTTCCAGGAAAGGTGCAAAGCTACACAGAGAAACCCTGTCTCGAAAAACCAAAAAAAAAAAAAAAAAACTAATAACACTGCTGAAAAAAAGAAAAGTAGTCCAAAGAAAATCCAAATAGTCTTGTATCTTTAAAGAAATTCCATTCATAGTTTTTTTAGAATGTCACAAATAAAATTATATAAAATTTTAAGATCATATGTGATCATAATGTATTAATAATACATAGATTCAGGTAATAAATTATATAAAATATGCATATACTCTTTCAGAAAATACAGAAGACAGAAATACTTCCCAATTCATTATTCTGGTCCCCAAACTAGATAAGGACATTAAAAGGAAAAAAAGTCATCCATCAATATCTTTTACATGCATAGACCTAATCAAATCCAAATAAGCTATAACAACTGTTCATGCTGACTGTCAACTTTATTAGACTGAGAAAAACCTAAGAGATTGTTGAAACACACCTCTGGGCACATCTGTGAGAAGATTTGGAAAGATGGTTAGGTCATGAGGACTCTGACTAATGAAGAGTTTAATCCGCTGATGGATTCAAATTTTGAGTAGACAGTTGGAAGGTGGATGGTGCCTTGATTGTGGAAGTAGATCACTGGAGGCAGGTCCTCCAGAGTAGTGTCTTGCCTTGACCCTTTCCAGTTGGTGCTCCATTCAACTCTACTCTACCATGCCTCCCTCGCCATGATGGGCGAACAATTTATGTGTATTTGCAAATGACCTAGGAAAGCCACACAATGACGGTGTAAAAGCGTAGACTGAGAGGAACTATGGCTGCTGGGTTTCAGAAGGTGAGTAAATAACCATGCACAACCCTGAGCACATTCTAGCACACAGCTCAAGTCTCCCTGGAAGTGTCGTAGGAAGAGAACTGGTGAAAGGATGGGCAGATCTCTGGAACAATTGGGGTCCACCCTAGAGCCATGCATGCAAAGTCAATTGGGTTTTAAACACATCTATTCTAGAGGGAGCATAAAGTATCTCAATAAGTAGCAATGGAACAATTAGATAATCACATAGAGAAAAGCAAACCTCAACCACTGTTTCATCCCATGCCCCCCAAAATTACTTCAGAATTGGTTATAAGTCTAAACCTAAAAAGAAAAACTGTAAAAGTCCTAGGGAAAGCATATGAGTACAGATCTGTAAATTTTAAAACTGCCCCCTCCAAAATCCTCTTAGTATACAAAAAGCACTAACACAAAGTAAAATATTGATTAGTTGCACTTGGCCAAATCTCAAAACTTTTGTTCATCGATAGATAATAAGAAAACAGCTTGCCTATTACCTGTGTCCAAAGCATAAGGGATTCTGGACTAGGGGTGTAGTTCAAGTGGTAGAGTCATTGCTTTGTGAGTATTCCAGCATCCTATGCACAATGTGTATGCCTGTGTGTGTATGTACCTAAGTACATAGAAAAAAATCTTGATAAAGTTATAAACAGTCCAACAAGAAATGAACAGATTCTTAGTCATTTCATAAGCTATGCAAATAATTGGTAAATGCACAAAAGAGAACACAGTATGTCAGTGTGGTGGCACACACCTATAACTCCAGCACTTAGGAGGCTGAGGCAGGAGAACTGGGAGTTCCAGATCAGCTGGTTTCATAAAAAAGGGAAGAGTACTCAACATCATTAATCATCATTTAAATTGGAACTACAAAGTGGTATACATGCACACCAGCTAGAGTAAAATATAAAACTAAAAAGACTGAGAATAGCAACTGTTGCACAGATGTGGAGTGATCCGAATGCTCATAATCGCTGGCAGGAGGAGGGCAAAACAGTACCACCAGTTGGGAAAACCCTTTGTCATTTTCACACACTTTAAAAAAAATACATCAACTCTGTCCCAGCAATTCTACTCTTAGGCATTTACACAAGAGAAATGAAAACATATATCCATTTCTTTCATACAAGAAATGTTTATGAGAGTTTTATTCATAATATCCCCCAAGGTATAAACAACCCAAACAAATGTATAAACAAAATAGGATAGATCCATTCATGTAGTACAATCCGGCCTTCATGAAGAACAACCCTCCAACAACACAGACAAAGCTCACAAACAGTCTAGGAAAAGCAGAAGAGTTTCATTCCATCTGTATGAAGTTCAAGAGCATATGCAAACAGTAATTTCTAGTGTTAGGAGTTATAACAATGGCTATGGAGGGTGGAACTGATTAAGATGAGCCGTGAGGGAGTTGGAGGGGGCGGGGCATGGGAATGTTTTAGCTTGATTGGAGTAGGTTATGGTTTGAGATCTGAAATGTCCTCCCATGGCTCATATGCTTGGGCGCTTGATTTCCAGATGGTGGCACTGTTTGGGGAGACCATAGAATTTTGGGGACAGAAGCATAGCTGGAGAAGACAGGTCATTGGAGGTGGGCCTTTGAATTTATAGCCCACCCCACTTCCATTCATTTTCTCTGCTTCCTATCTTACAGTGAACAAGCTGGCCCACAACTCCACCAGGGACCAAGCCACCCCAGCCATTACCTCAGCCATCCTGCCTCCCCTACCAAGAGGGCTGTGCTCTCCAAACTGTAAGACATCGGGTGTTGCATCTCTAAGACATCAGGTGTTGCATCACAGTGACATGAAAGTGAGCTCATACATCAGCGTGTTCATTTGTCAAATCTCATCAAACCACATTTAGATACATATCACAGAATGTGGTAGGATATACACTTTAGAACTCACAATGAGATCCATGAAAAACTGGCATAGGAAGCACCAGAGTCTATGAGAGGGGTCATCGAGAAAGGTTATAAGGAAGATCCAGCATTTACATGGAGCCTTCAAGAGTGGGTAGGATTTGGAAGGGAATGTGATAATCAGAAACGTGAAGGAACTCAGGCATAGCAATGTAAGAAGAGGCTGTGTAGCTGGAACCCCAGTACCTCCTCAAAGCAAGGGAAAAAAAGAACAGAATAAGCATGTAGGGGAGCTGGGAGTGATCACATGGGCTCCTCATTGGAGAGACTGGTTGAAGGCCAGATCCTTGGAGACTAGGGAATGTATTCCCTGGGGTCCACAGCAATGTGCCAGGGGCAGACTGGGCACCTAGCCCACTTCTGGGCACATAGAAAAATACTCAATAAATGTTTCTTCAAGCAAATGCAATATAAATAATGGAACCGCTAAGAGGTCTCAGCCTAAGCAATGGCTTGGAGCCCCAGAGAGAACCTGGGGCTCTGACTCACTCTGCAGAGAAGCTATGCACAGTCCTAGAGCACTGAACTTGGACACATTCTATCACGCAGCTCAAGTCGCCCTGGGGGCACCATATAACTTTATTGTAAGCTCATGCAATAACACAGGCAAATGGAACAACAATGTAAAGTTGGCTTTAATTAAAATGAAGGGTGTTTGCCTCTCCCTCCTTCTCCTGCTCAGCCGAGGCAGCCTGCTGAGCTATATGGAGCACTCAAAGGAATGAGTCCAAAGCGGGAGGCAGCCTCCTAGCCGGATGAGCTTTACCGGATGTTGGAGTATCCCCGTCCACTCCCCAGTCTCTACAACGCTCCACCTTACGTGAGCCACACAGCAGAAGACACCAGGAAAGCAGGAGCAGAATCAACAATGCCTTCCTAACAGGCCCCAGGAAAGGGAAAGAAAGGCAAGTGTTGCCAGTTAGTGGGGATAGGGGAGAGGCTGCTGGTTACAAAATGCTTGTCCATGGAGGGATCCCACCAGTACTGCCTCCTCAGCTGTGAGCAGTAGCTTCTGTTGGAGCCTGTCCTCAAAGGACTTCCTGTCTGGTAGGAAATCATGAATGAAAAAGATGTACCCAGAGCTGGGGTGATAGCTCAGTCCACACAGCACTTTCTGCATACACCCAAGGACCTGAATTCAGTCCCCAGAACCCATGTTGTTGTTGTGTTTGTTTTTTTTTTAAAGCCAGTCATGGTGGTAATCTCAGTGCTGGAGAAACAAAAGAAGGGGATCTCTGGGGCTCGTTGCCAGTCAGTCATGCCTAATCTGCAAATTCCAGACCAAGTGAGAGACATTGTCTCAACAGAACAGCAAGGTGAATGGTGCCTTAGGAACAACACCTGGAATTGTCCTCTGTCATCCACATGTGCAGGTACATATAGACATGTGTATCCTCACACACATGTACCCACATATATAAACACAAACGCAGGTAGCCACTAAGAAAATCATGAAAACTCTGTGAACTCAGAGATTTGTCTATAGGATCTGACATCTGAAAAGGGAAGTTAATTATAAGGACTAAGTGACTTGTAAAAGAATCACATGTAAAAGGACCAAAAGAGATGGCACAGGGCCGGGTGTCTTTGTGCTTCACATACCCGATACCAGCCTCGATGTGCTGAGTGTCTTACGTGTTTCACATACCCCATACCAACCTCAATGTGCTGAGTGTCCTATGCACTTCACATACATACCCCATACCAACTGTGATGTGCTGGGTGTCCTATGTGCTTCACATACATACCCCATACCAACTGTGATGTGCTGAGTGTTCTATGTACTTCACATGCATACCCCATACCAACTGTGATGTGCTGAGTGTCCTATGTACTTCACATACATACCCCATACCAATTGTGATGTGCTGAGTGTCTTATGTACTTCACATGCATACCCCATACCAACTGTGATGTGCTGAGTGTCCTATGTGCTTCACATGCATACCCCATACCAACTGTGATGTGCTGGGTGTCCTATGTGCTTCACATACATACCCCATACCAACTGTGATGTGCTGGGTGTCCTATGTGCTTCACATGCATACCCCATACCAACTGTGATGTGCTGAGTGTCCTATGTGCTTCACATGCATACCCCATACCAACTGTGATGTGCTGGGTGTCCTATGTGCTTCACATACATACCCCATACCAACTGTGATGTGCTGAGTGTCTTATGTACTTCACATGCATACCCCATACCAACTGTGATGTGCTGGGTGTCCTATGTGCTTCACATGCATACCCCATACCAACTGTGATGTGCTGGGTGTCCTATGTGCTTCACATGCATACCCCATACCAACTGTGATGTGCTGAGTGTCCTATGTGCTTCACATGCATACCCCATACCAACTGTGATGTGCTGGGTGTCCTATGTGCTTCACATACATACCCCATACCAACTGTGATGTGCTGAGTGTCTTATGTACTTCACATGCATACCCCATACCAACTGTGATGTGCTGGGTGTCCTATGTGCTTCACATGCATACCCCATACCAATTGTGATGTGCTGAGTGTCTTATGTACTTCACATGCATACCCCATACCAACTGTGATGTGCTGAGTGTCCTATGTGCTTCACATACATACCCCATACCAATTGTGATGTGCTGAGTGTCTTATGTACTTCACATACTCCATACCAGCCGTGATGTGCTGATTAGATGTAATGGTGCCAAGTTGCTGTTGCTGAAGAGAGGAAGTCTAGAGTATCAGCTAACTCTTTTGGTGTAAATTCTCCCATAATTGCAGATTTCAAGTTGCCAAGATGATATTAATCAATTCAAGAGATTCCCAAAAAGCTAGATAACAACTAGCTATTCAGGTTGATCCCAGGGCACCACTGGACCTGGCTGTCTGAGGTGCTCTCAGCTGCAAGAGGAATTTTGAGCATCTACATCTCAGGCCAAGATTTGCATTCAAATGATAGCTCCAAACTAAGATTTGTGCCCAGAGGTCTGAATTCCAACAATAACAATATAATCCAAGCACAGCTACTATCTACTGAAGCTCTGTCTTAGGCCATATTCCCCTTCTGAAGTTTGTTTTGTTTTAGTTTTTACAAATCAATGCATTAAAGCCTCACAATCATTGATATACTACTATTATTCTATTCTGTAGATGAGAAAACAGTCTCAACAAGGGTAAGTTTCTAGCCTCTGATCACACAGCTTACTTTGTGCTCTGGAAGATACTGCAAATAGCAGTCCTCTGAATACCCTCCCTTCCTGCATTGATCCAATGTAGAGCAGGTAGAAGCCAGAAAACTCTCCTTCATCCTCAGGACCCTTTGAGAGCCAGGCTAAGGCAGCTGATGTAGATGCTGTCAATCAGCATACCTACGGGAAACCTGGGTTTAGAAGGAGGAAGAGACAGGGACAGGGGAGGGACCGTTGTGTCTGGACCTATGGCAGAAGCATCCAGTCTTCTGAGTGGCGGAGGCTTTGGCATCCAGCTCAAATGCTGTAGAGACTAGGTAACCAAGCAATGGTTTTTACTAAATCATCCCTGCAGACTGTTCAAACCATATTCCTGAGGTGCTCCCCAGCACCTATGAGCTGTCCAACAACTTGGAATGAATTTCTACTCTCTTTAATCTACCCCAAATAGACTCTGTAAGGAACTGCAATAAAACAGGAAATCTAGGGCTCAAGTTTGGGTTCTTGTCTCCAGAACTCAACCTTCTATGCACACAACGTGGCCCAATTTCTCCTCTCCTCTCCACAACTCTTCAACTAAGCCTTCTGCCATGCTACCGATGAGGAAACGAAACCCAAAAGAGATCTAGGCCTGGACTTCTGGCCCAAGCCTGTAATCTCAGCTGTTCAGGAGGCTGAGATAGGAGAGTGGCAAGTTCAAGGACTGTCTGGGTTATAGAGTGAGTTCAAGGCCAGACTGGAAAGTTAGTGAGAGCCTGCCTCAAATTAAAAAAAAATAAAATGGCACTGGATATATAAGACAGTGATAGAGTGCTTGCCCAATATACACAAGGCTCTACAGAGAGGGGGAGCAGGGAGGGAGGGAAGGAGAGAGAGAGAGAGAGAGAGAGAGAGAGAGAGAGAGAGAGAGAGAGAGAGAGAGAGTTCGAAACAGCTGCTGTATGGCAGCTAGGTGTCTAGAAAAGGCAGATTCCTATAGTTTAACACAACATAATAGGATTCTGGTCTGTAATTGCCTGACTCTAAAACACTTGTTTCCACTGCCTCTGCTTTCCCACCCTTCATGGAAATTAGTGGGTATGAGCAGCATATGAATGGTCTAGTTTCAGGGGGTAAGGTGGGAAGGCATATGCCTCCTGGAGGAACCTGAGAGATCAGGAGGAATAGAGACCACAGACAGGGGTTTTCCTCTAAGAGGGCATCTTTCCTCAACTCCTCATTGAGCCCCACCCCGAGGTCACCACTGTAGGGGAAGCTTGGGTTAGCCCAGGCCTCCCCTCTGCACTGTATCAGAGGAGAGCTAGCAAGATGCTGAGAACAAGCAAAGCCCCTCAACCAGCTCATGCACAGAAAGAAGGCCCCTACAGGAGTGAAGTCCAGAGTGGGGGACCTTTGGGACATGTAGTCCTGGGCAAGTGGAGAGCAGCAGGTGTGAAGGTTGAGAGCCTGGTGACTGCGACTGTGTAGAGCAGTGGTTCTCAGCCTTCCTAACACTGCGACCCTTTAATACAGTTCCTCATGTTGTGGTGACCCCCTCCAACCATAAAATTATTTTCATTGCTACTTTATAACTAATTTTGCTACTGTTATGAAATTTAATATAAATATCTGTGTTTTCTGATGATCTTAGATGACCCCCATGAAAGGGTCACTTCACATACACACACACACACACACACACACACACACACACACACACACACACACACACACACACACATCGTGGAGCTGCAACCCACAGGTTGAGAATACTGTTGTAAAGGGAATTATGTACACAGCTTCAGTGGTGCATCCAACGTGTGGAGAAGAATAAGGGCCAAGTGAAGAGAGGTTGAGAGCCTCCTCATCAGCATCCCCTGCTGTCCACTATGAGTGAGACGGCTGCAAGCCACATAGACTTAGACCCTGCTGCTGGGCTGTGAGCTCCATGGGAAAGCCTTGGGTTCAGCAATCCCTTAACTGTAACTCAGTTATGTTTGGTTCCCACAAACTTCTGAGAGTCGTGGGAACATGTTGAAGAGCTTGGGTCTTAGCCTAAACGCCACTCAAAATAATGATAATGGACATAGTCCATTCTATCTTTTATGTTATTTTACTTAATTTTTTGAGACAGTCTCACTATGCAGACTAGGTTGGCCTCGAACTCACAGAGTCCTGCCTGCCTCTGACTTTCAAATGCTGGGATTAAAGGTGAGCTGTATTTTCTTAGAGATCACCCAGAGCACTCTGGAGAGAAAAGATTTGAGGAAACAGTGTGGAAGAGACCTAATGGGGAAATTCAAAAGAGCAATCAATGATGGTGGCCCAGATAGGACATGGGGCAGAGGGGGAGTGGATGTAGGGTGTTCCCAGTTGAACTTAAATTCATTGACTTAGTACAATTGTTATGTGATATAAAACACACACCCTTCCTCAATGTTGTCATCTGGGAGACAGGGCCTTGTCATCTGGGAGACAGCCAAAAGCTGCTGAAAGTCCGGACTCCTTGGAAATGGGTGCAGTGGTAGAAGTTCACTGTGACTGCTGGCTGGGAGGATGCAGGGAGGATGCAGGGAGCCACTGTGGATGCATGCCTTCATGGGAGAGTCTGTGGGTCATCACAGAAGCTATCACAGGGCTTCTGGCCCTTGGAAAATCAGTCTAGCAGAAACTGGAACTACTGGAGTGCACATGGTACCCCCAAGACTAGGGCAAAGGAGGAGCTGCCCTGGGTAGAGAGTGCAGTATGAAACACATAGGGCCCAAGTGAGCACAGTGGCTTGTGTGGCTTCCTGTGCCAGTTGAGGGATCTGAGACTTGCTTCCGGATCCTGGGAAAAACGCTAGAGATGACAGTAGCTTTGGCAGTGTCCCTGGAGATATGGAGTAATTCATCCTGCCTGACCCCAGTGGCCTTGGCTGCTGGCCCCTCCTGGATTCCCGGGGGAGCCAGGCCTGAGTCAGCTCCTCTGGGCCCTGAACCTGTCTGAGCCTTCAGACCCAGGCTTAGGCAACTAAGCCCCAGCTCGTGCTGACAAATCCCTTCTAATAGAGAGATCAACTTTTCAATACTACCATGGCTGCTCTTGAGACATCCATCCCAGGGCAGCAGACAGCAGGCTGGGTCCAGGTCCTTGAGCTTTAGAGAGCTGGCACCCCTGCACTGGGGACTTTCCTCAAATGATCTCGCTGGCTTGTCACCACTCACTCCAGCAGCTGCAGGGACTCCTGGTGCTCCAGTTTAGCAATGCCACTCTCTGGAGTCCCGCAGGGGAGACACAGGGCACAAGTGAGGAGTCCCTGTGAGGCTTATGGACCAAATGACATCATGGCTCCTAACAAGTACAGCAGCTTCTGTTCCTACCTCAGGGCCTTTGAATTTATTCCTCCTTTGCTGGAAGTTTCTTCCCTCCAGTATTGGCAGGGCTTCTCGAGTTTTTATCAGAAAGCCATGCTTTCGGGATGCAGACTCTACTGATCTGCTTGAAATGGCAGACGTGGCCCCGCAGGCCGACTTTACTTCCCCTGCCCATCTTTATTTTCTCTGTAATGTAGTCACCATCTCCCACACTGTGTTTTACTTCTCATTTGTAATTGCTCATGTCTCCCATCCCTGAACAAAGAGAAGCTCCATGAAGGCAGAGATTCTGCTTCTGCTGTCTCTGATGACTCCTCAAAGCCTAGAACTGAGTCTGGCACAACCAAGTATTTGTCTATTAAGTGATTGATTGATTGAGGATGGGTGGCTGGACCCGAAATCGGAGTCCAGAGCTTGCATTCAAGTTCCCTGTACATCCTAAGTCTCCATACCCACAGGACAAGCATTACAATGCCTGCCCGGATTTGAAAGCCATAATAAAGGGTGGGAAGCAGGAGCAGACAGGCAAGGCAGTAAGGGTCAGAGCCAGGGACTGTGGAGACAGAATGTAGACGCGGGGGGGGCTCATGGAAAGTGCGCATTGTCAGCTAGGATAGTCATCGGCCTATGAGGCTAAACCTGGAAGTGTGTGGCTGTGAATTGCTAGAGGACCCATTTGACTCATGTTGAGTCCCCAGCTTCTGCCATGAGATGCTTCCTTCCCAGGCAGGCTCAAGTCTTCTGGAAGCCCAGTGTCTCCAGCTTCCAGAGTTATCCTCCAGGAAGGGGCCCCTCAGCTTCTGTGAGGATGTTCCTAAGAAGCCAAGAGAACTTAGAGAACATGCCCAGATGGTTCCAGGTGCCATGGATGGGAAAGCTTTGCATAACTGCTTGGAACACAGAGAGGAGTGAGCAGCTAAGGAGGCAAGCCTTGTGAGGCCTGCCCACTACCCCACTCTCAGCCTGACAAATGCCCTGACCTTTAAAGTCAACTCTAGGATAGCCTGCTCAAGGAATCCTTTATTGATGGCTCCATCTCACTCAGTTCACCATAAAGAGACCCAACCACTTCCTCATTTGAATACCCTTTACCCCTACCCAGGCATTCTCTCTTGGAGAACAGGGTGTAAGGTGGTGTTGTTACAACTGTGTATAATGTGTATATGTGTGTATGAATGCACGTGTGTGAGTGAACACATGCTGTGGAACGCGTGTGGAAGTCAGAGGGTAACTTGGTGGAGCTGGTTCTTTCTTTTCACTTTTACGTGGTTCCAAGGATGGAACTCAGGTTGTCAGGCTGGCACATCAAGCCCTTTTACCTGTTGAACCTTGTCACCAGGCCTGGAGGTGGGTTTTTATAAAACACTATTGCATGGGCTGAGTCCTGGGGATGTACAGTGAAGGAGTCCTGTGAATGGAATGTCACGGTCTCCTGAGCTTACCAGCTCCCACAGTCTTCTTGTGGCCTCTCTGGTCTGAGTCTGTTTCTCCTTTTGTTCTGGAGCTGGTATTGAATAAGGAGAGTATGTACTAAGCATCCTCACTCCATCCACATCTGCCTGGCTATGGTCACTCTTCCCCGGGGCCTGCAGACAAGCTTCCATCCAGCCTGGGAGCACGATACCTATGTGAATGCCATTATCGGTTACATATGTTTATAGTGCTCATTCCCACACCTAGAAACTGTTAGCCTGTAGTGAGGACTTGATTGGTGCTTGTAGAAAAACAGGTAAGAGGGGAGAAAGGGGGGGGGATAAAGAGAACATTGGACACCCGGTCTACTCATCTGTGCACACACAGATCTGTCACCCACCCTCTGAGATCCAGTGCTTCAAGCCACTCCTACCATCACTTCAGTGTGGTCCGTGGATCTGCAGCAAAACCTCAGGCCAGTTCCAGACAGGCTGAATCTGAATGTGCAGATCAGCAAGATCCCCAGGTGCTGGACATGCACTTAATATTAAGGAAATACAGTGCCCAGATCTGAAGAAGACACTGCCAGCCTCGCCGACCTCCCAGGAGAGTGAAGAGTGTCAAATGGGTGACTAATGAGAAAATACTTTGAATCCTGGAATATACTGGGCAGATGAGATAAATTGCTATGGCTATTCTTATGATTAATAATAGTCCTCACCAAAAAAACCACTTTATAGTTTTGTTTCTAAAACCTCATTAAACTCTGTTCAAATGTGCCATTAAGAGTTATGTTCTAGTCCACTGAGTTTTGTAAACCCCAAGCCTTCAAAACAGATTGGAGCCTGGGCTTGGGGACAGAAACATGGGCCTCGCTTATGATGGTCGCCATGGGCCTGATTGAATGCAAATTTTTTTCCCACAACACCCTGCCAACTGATTGATCCTGGGGAAGCAGGAGATGTCGGGAACTAGTTCCTCAGAGAAAGGAAAAACTAAGTAGAGACAGAGAGTGGAAAAAGACAAGCATGGGGTTTCACGCTGGTTTGCGGGGTTGTACTGCATGCCTGTAATCTT